TATTTATTTATTTATTATGTATACAATATTCTGTCTGTGTGTATGTCTGCAGGCCAGAAGAGGGCACCAGACCTCATTACAGATGGTTGTAAGCCACCATGTGGTTGCCGGGAATTGAACTCAGGACCTTTGGAAGAGCAGGCAATGCTCTTAACCACTGAGCCATCTCTCCAGCCCCCCAAAAATTAAACTTTATTGATGAGATTTTTATAAGACTTTGCCTTATAATAGTTGTTTTCCTATGACTGAAAAGTCACTCCCACTAAAATGTACATTCCCCAAGGGCAAAGCCGTTTTACATACTGTAATCTGATTATGATTTTTCCAAGTACAATTCTTTGAATACAACAACTGTTCAATAAATATTTGCTGAAAAGCTTTTTTTACCTAGTAACTCACAAATTACATATAGGGGCATGTTGCATTGTTGTTAATAATGATCAGCAACAAAGCAACCCAATTATTCAATAATAGTGAACATTTATAAAATTTCCCATAATCTTATGGAGAGAAATGTAATAGAATCTTTCACAAACCTTATGGTTAGATGGAAAAGTTATGTTATGCCATGAAGTGAACTAATCAGAATTCAAATATATGTAATTCTTAAGTACAGTAGTAGGGTTGACTCATGGGATGAAGGCAAAACAGAAAAATAAGTTGGAGCTTTTATTTTATGTTTCTCTGCATTTGATTGTTTTATGGTGTATTATTACATAGCTATATGCACATAAAAATAAATAACCATCTAACAAATCATTAAAAGGCTATTCTGTTGGTCTTGATGTCTGTAAGCGGAAGCTGTCCTTCAAATAAAGTTGTCTCTAGGCACCATGAGGTAATACGAAAGAGCACGTCCCACCTTCCCAAGGCACAGAGTGACTAATGGCCTTCCTTTCATCCACTGTCCTGTATGTTAGACTGTGTGAGAAAGTTCAAGTGTTGTCAGATAAGCATAGAAGAAGGCAAAGGCAAGCTCTGGTGGAACTTGAGGAAAACGTGCTACAAGATAGTGGAACACAACTGGTTTGAAACCTTCATCGTCTTCATGATTCTGCTCAGCAGCGGTGCTCTGGTATGTGACTCGGTGCCTGCCCCTTCATCCTTCCCCTTTTCCCTCCAGTGAACCTCACTTTACCCATTCATAAAACAGACTGTTGGGAAAAGCGAAAGTTATGTGTGGAAGGGCCCCCGCAAGAGCAGCTTATACTGCTCTCTCTGGAGGATCCAGATAGGATTACGCTTAGACAGTGTCTGTTCCCATATACTTTCAAAAAAATTCTTCCTGACATTTAGTCACCAGTGGCAGTTCATTTTATTTTTGCATAATAAGAGAATTTTATTCTCTTATTCTCAAGTCCATTACTATACTTATTAGTGTCTACTGAATTTTAACCATATAATACAACGTAATTGCAATTTTTTTCTTAGTTAAAAAGGTTTTAGAGTGTCCATGCAATGCCTCAACTGGCAAAGAGAAAGATCAATGGCACCTCTTCAGAACAACTATGCAGATTTGATGTGGGATTGCCAGCTGAAGTGGGAGCTGCTTAATAGAGGCAGCTGACTGATTCACACCAATTCACTTGCCAGCCAAAGCCAACGGTGACTGACTACCTTGCTTTCCGGAAGCATTACAAACCTAGTTTGCATCTGACTTCATTTAACAGGATGAATAATTTAATCAAATACTCACTAATGTAATAAAATGGAACGATCCTTTTTCCCATTTTGCAATGTGACGGTAGTTGCATTTCCTTTACTTTTAATTTTCTGAAAGTGTTTGTGAGTGGTTTTCAATGAGAGGATGACCACCTTGCTTCTTGGGGCCTTTAACCCCACTTCTGGCTTGACTGAGCCCTGCTTCCTGCCATCTCAGTTAGGAGAGTCTCTGAGTCCTCACCAGGGTGTGGCCTTCCTGTAAGAGCTGTTGGTCCCCTGGTGCACTCAGCCACAGCTCACCGAATTCCATGCACTTGCTCACACAAGAGTTGGATTCTGGGGCTTCCAGCTTGAGCTCCAACCTAAACAGCAAAGCCCTTCTGCCCAGCCCTGTCATCATAAACCTGGTTGCCCTCCTTCTCTAAAAAGAAAACTTTCTTAGCTCCTTGATCCAGTCCACCACACACTGTTTTGACATTTCCTTTAAAGAGCTTTGCATTACAAGGCCTTTTTATTTTAGAAGGATTAGGGGTTCCTGTAAAATGGCCATACCCTTTCTTTCCTAAGAGCTACAGAAAGATGGCAGCTTCCAGAGACACCCGCACAACTGCTGGAGAAAATGAAGAGATAATCTTCCCCACCGCCCCCTGCCCACCACCCCCCACCCCTCCACCCCACCCCCACCCCTGCTTCCCATACTCAGGAGACTCCTGTAGTCTAGTTATACGTTCCAGGGAGGGGAATGCCAGTCACTCTGGATTCTGAGCTATTTCTAAAGACACCACCTCTTGCTTGAGAAGAAACTATCTGAACATCTGGCCTTTGCTCACACATCTCAAGCTCTTTGGGGATAGTCTCAATATCCAGATTTAAAATTGCGTGAGTCTCTTTGACAGGCTGCAATGCCCAGGCGCTCCTCACATTTGTAGACAACTATGAAGCCAGGACAGCGTGACCACCTTCTTGCCCTGACTAAAGAAGGCCTGCTTTTGCGATTTTTTTTTCCAATACATAAAGTAAAATCTGTTCTTGGTGATGATGTTCAATACCATGTCTTCCCCTGTAGGCCTTTGAAGACATATATATCGAGCAGCGAAAGACCATCAAGACCATGCTGGAGTATGCTGACAAGGTCTTCACTTACATCTTCATCCTGGAGATGCTTCTCAAGTGGGTGGCCTATGGTTTCCAGATGTATTTCACCAATGCCTGGTGCTGGCTGGACTTCCTGATTGTTGATGTGAGTACCCTGAGGTTCCCTCTTCTCTTTCTCAGCAGGGAACGATGAGCCTTGGTCCTGGTAGCATGGAGCAGGCACTTGGGGAAACACTGCTTGAGTCCAAATACAAATGCTATTTTCCACCTTTCCAGTGGAAGTATATCTGAGACACATTTTTGAGGATTTATAATATAAATGCCACCTTGTATTTAGTGAGTTAGTTTGAATATTCAAATCAGTATGAAAATCCAAGCTATGCAAAAGTATGGTTGTTTTCTAACTTTGTCTTTAATTCTCACACTTCATACAATTGCAGTTGTTAGAATTCTTCATGAGCATCTTTGGCAATAGGATTTGTCAGCAGTTGAGCCCTACTGAGAAATAAATGTCCCATACATAGAATATTAATTTTATGTAAATTCAAAAGTCCAAAACCAAGTGATACCACTGAATTTTTCTGGCGACTGAAAACAGATTGGCTAACCAATATTTTTAAGGACTGATTAACCTATATTGGTACTTAAAGATATTAAAATAGAATATCAGAATATAGAAGTATTTAAAATAATTGAATATGGTAAATTTTTCTTACATGTAATGTTCAAAGGGTACATGAAGAACTCCATGAAAGATCTTCTTAAATGCAGAAAGACAATAAATAAAAATTAAAATCAATGTATGGTTATGTTTGGCAATTCCAAACAATGAAGCAAGCGTGTCAAATATACTACCAGTCCTTCTTTTATGTGACAAGTTGTAAGACATGATTCTTTTCACTTTTTTGCATGTACTTGTAACAAATCAGTAGCTTGATGATAGCATAGCTAATATTTAATATATATAAGCAAGGCTAAGTCATTATATTCATATTAATGAAGCACAAAGAAACCCAGAAAGGAAGTTGCCTTGCTGCCTGAACTCACATTGTCTAATCTACATTGTCTAATATGAACTCACATTGTCTAGTATGCTTTGATATCTACTATTTTAGGTTTGTGAAAACTCTCATGAGTGTACATTAAGCTGGTTGATACTTTGTTTAAAATCAAATATGCTTTCCAGCCAGGCGGTGGTGGCGCATGCCTTTAATCCCAGCACTGGCTTAAGATGTGATTGCTTGGGGCTGGAGAGATGGCTCAGAGGTTAAGAGCATTGCCTGCTCTTCCAGAGGTCCTGAGTTCAATTCCCAGCAACCACATGGTGGCTCACAACCATCTGTAATGGAGTCTGGTGCCCTCTTCTGGTCTGCTAGCATACACACAAACAGAAAATAAAATAAATAAATAAGCAAACAAACAAACAAAAAGATGTGATTGCTTGCCGGGCGGTGGTGGCACAGGCCTTTAATCCCAGCACTCGAGAGGCAAAAGCAGGCGGATCTCTGTGAGTTCGAGGCCAGCCTGGTCTACAAGAGCTAGTTCCAGGACAGGAACCAAAAAGCTATGGAGAAACCCTGTCTCGAAAATCAAAAAAAAAAAAAAAAAAAAATCAAATATGTTTTCCAATAATCTGCTTCCTTATGGAGCTATAACTTGAAAAGTCACTTCTCTGGTCCTAAGGGAGTTTAAGTTTGACCAGTAAGGACAAATGTATAATCAATGACTTCCCCTGAAGAAAGGTTTCTTGAGAGTAGAGTAAATCAGAGTTTGAGTGAAAAAAAAAATGCCAGTAGGTCCAGAGGTGGGAGGAACACTGATGGGTGCCCACCCTGAGAACCAGCGCTTGAGAGTGAGCTCAGAGGGCATGGAGTAGGATGGAAAGGTTTGTAAGTGGAAGACAAATTAAGAAAGACAGCTGTTTGAGGAACTCATGATGCCATCCGAAGAACCATGAAGATAGAGAGGTTAGTGGAGAGGAAGATTTTTGAAGACTATCTTAAATAAAAACCCAGAAGACTAAAGGCTATGTATGACGGTGTCCCAGGAAGACCCAGATGTATCTCCTTTTCAAGTGTCGCTAACAACTTACTGGAAGCGGTATGGCTTCCCACTTCTTCAATTCTCCAATAGTTCTGCCCCAGTTCTTTCCTCTCCAATGTGTGCCTGTCCCTGGGATGCTGGCATCAGAGAATGTAAAACACTCAGGTCCTCCCGGATCCCATTCCAAAAGCCTTCACAGTTCTTGAAAATCCCGACACTTTGTTCCTCGGTTATCTATGAGAAGAGTTACATGGGCCTAAACTACCCGGATGGAAGTTGTACCTCATCTCTCCCTTAAATTCAGACGCGTTGCTTTCGGATAATCTGTACAAAATGGTTTAAATAAACCAAGGTTTCTGTAAAAGAAATTCTGTTCACTTCTGTTATTTTTCTTAGAAACCATTTTTCAAATACTTATCATAATACTCTGAAAAACTGTATTATGTATTTATTTCTAGTTGTCTGATATTCAAATTTTTGTGTCCTTTAGAATGAGATAACATTTCTTTTCTTAGCCCATATAATATTCATAGTTTTCCAAGGTACTTGGGTATCCAACTGAGATTTTTAGAATTTTTACCAATAGCACTAGCAATAGGTATAAATGTCTAAAAAAAATCATAACCTTAAAATTCTTTAGTTATACCAACATCTCAATTTTCTTTCTTTTCATTCACTAATTTTATTTGCTTTAATTAATGGTAATTCCCAAAATGTGATTTATGAACCAACATAGTTTATTTTACCAGAAAATACAGAAAAATATAAATTCTCAAGCCTTTTCCCAAGCATACTAAATCAAACTCTGCCAGCTCTCAATGTTATTTTAATTGAAAAGGTTTTTTTTTTCCAAACAAATTCTGATCAACAGTTTCCCCTCCCCTAATTGCTCCAGATTCTTCCCACTGACCGAATCCATATCCTTTCTTTATCCGGTTCATTAGAGAACCATCATCTAAAAAGAAGGGGAGAAAGACAAGACTAAAACAGAGGATGATCTTCCTGCTGCCGCTCTCCGTGATCTTAAGTTCTGGATGATGTGGAAACTCACACGAGTTTGAGAACTTCTTGTTTCTATGTTGCATAGAGCAAGGTTGAGGGGTTTGTAGACATTTTTTAGCTCTACCTTTAATCACTTGTGTTCTCTTTTTTTGCATAGGTCTCATTGGTTAGCTTAACTGCAAATGCCTTGGGTTATTCAGAACTCGGTGCCATCAAATCCCTCAGAACATTAAGAGCTCTCAGGCCACTCAGAGCCTTGTCTCGTTTTGAAGGAATGAGGGTAAGACCAAACACCTTAGAGTTTGCTGGAACTATAGTTAAGAACAACCCGAAACTTTCTACAGGAGGAGGGGCAAATCCACCTTCGTGTTGACATAACCAATCAATCAGTAAGATGCATCCAGTGTCCCTAATGCGTATCGTTATTTGACCCAACAGAACTCTGTGCCGGATGCCTTTAATTCCTTTCCTTTTCATTAGGAAATTCTTGATCATATCTCGAAGATTGCTGATATGACTCAAGATTACTGATCTTCCCTCGATTTTAAAATGTGCAGGACATCTAACTTGATGTCATTTAAAACCACCTAGTCATGAATCATCATTTCTTCCCTGCACTGTATTGTGAACCTGGTGCCTGTTGAAGACTGAATCTGGCCTTTTGGTTTTTAAGCACAGACAAAGATATCTAAAAAGTAGGTCAGCTGTAGAAATCTAATACTCCCTTAGAAAGGCAGTACAAAGGACCAGGAGGAATTCATGCTGACATTTGTCGTCCGCTGGAACAAAAGCCCAAGAACACATACCGTCACCACCTAGAAAATAATTGTAGCCCGTCTCCATGGTACTGAGTATTTAAAAAAAAAAAAAAAAAAAAAAAACCTACCAATGGATGCTTTTTGTGATACTTAAAACATCTCCCTGTAATCCTAGCACTCAGAAGTTTGAGGTCATAGGATTACCAGCCTACATATTCACTTCCAAGCCAGGCTTAGCTAAAAAGTGACACACTGTCTCAAAAACTCTTTACAAGACAAGACAAAAACAGAAATGAAAATACTTCCTTAGACTTCATCAGGGTATTACAAGCACAGCCATAGATGCCTGTTATGTGTTGGTGTGTAGGCACATTGGTGCATATGTAGCCATGTTTTTGCATGTTTAGGCATGTCCTGCTTTTCTATGTATAGAAAGAAATGTTTGGCTAGCTGTTAGTTTTTTTTCTTTAACGATTAAATAAATCCTTGTTTTGCAGTAGTAGGATGTTAAATGTTCTGTACTGGAATATATTTCATACTTTCCATGTCAAATATTTCTTTCATATTCACCAACTTCCTCTTTCTTGGCTTGGGACCAAATCTGAGGTCTCGAGTGTGATAGGGAGGTCTCTGTATCACATTGTACCCTCAAATGTTCTCTTTTGCTCTCAGTTTGGTATTGTACACTTCGTATACAATACAGCATTGCACACTTTTCATTTTTAAAATATTGATTATTCAGATGATCTTATACATTTATGTCATTATTTGTGGGCTTAGTTACATGTTGATTTTAATTATCTCCATTTCTTGCTGAAAATCTGTTACATACATGTGCTTACCCCCAAGAAAACATTTCATAATGCAATTCATTTCATATTCTTCTGTAATTTAGAATTTTAAAATTCTAAATTTTGATCTAAAATTCTTAGATAAAGCTTTTGGGTACTTCTAACCAATATTCAACTTTGAGGAGAGAAGTATTTTTTCTGTATTTTGACCATTATTTTCTTTGCTATATAAGGCTTTATAGTTTGTATTATGTGTATGGATATTTGCATGCTGATATGCATGTGCACCATATATATGTAGGTTAGCCTTAGCAGCTAGGACAGGGTGCCAGAATCTCTGTAACAAGTTGCAGCCAGTTCTGAGCGCCTTCATGTTGATGATGGGAACCAAACCTAGATCCTCTCGAGCAGGCAATTGTATTAGTCATTCAGTGAACTCTCCAGACCTTGATTCGCTTTTCTTTTTTAAGGTACATTTGTTTATATTCAGTGTATGTTCATGTGACCGAGTATAGATGGATGTAAAACACATGCATTTAGATGCCCTTGAGGCTAGAAAAAGGTGTTAGATCCCTGATACTAAAGTTCCAGGAGAATGTTCGCCACCTGACATTGGTGCTGGGAACCAAGTCTAGGTCCTCTTGAAGAGTCACAGTTGAGCCATTTTTCAAGCTGAAATCATGACTTACTAATAACATTTGAAAGGAAGTGAACATAAATACCTGTCCTCTCATGGGTTTCCGCCTTCTCCTCCTGCCCAGGTTGTTGTAAATGCTCTTCTGGGTGCCATCCCATCCATAATGAACGTGCTTCTGGTCTGCCTGATCTTTTGGCTAATATTCAGCATCATGGGAGTGAATCTCTTTGCTGGCAAGTTCTATCACTGCATCAACTACACCACTGGGGACATGTTCGACGTGAGTGTGGTCAACAACTTCAGTGAGTGCCAAGCTCTCATAGAGAGCAACCAGACAGCCAGGTGGAAGAACGTGAAAGTCAACTTCGATAACGTGGGACTTGGCTATCTTTCTCTGCTTCAAGTGGTAAGTGGCCACCTCCATGTTGCTTGCCTTGTGTCAAAAGTTGTCTTTCTCTGCTGCCTGACAGCTGTTAGAATAAGTGTCATCAAAGAGAAGGCAGATATCATGCTTGCAGCAACCTGCACACTGCTAATGGAAATGCTAATTAGTAAGGCTTATGAGAAGCATTACAGGGAGCCCTCAATAATGTAGAAAAGAACCATCATGTGATCTGGGATTCCAGTCCTGGGCATGTGTCCAAAGGAAATGCAGTGCATACTCGGTGTGTGAAAACATGTCTACATTCCCCTCTCTTTCACATACTGGTTGCACACTGCACATGGAAATGTGCTGGTTCTAATTGCAGCATCACTTATGACCATTGTATGTGACATTGGTCTAAGTCTATCAGTGAATGAATGTCTAAAGGCAGAGAGGATATGCACATATAGAGTAATTACCGCATGCTGATAATCTTCCTGAAGTGCTTTCCTGGGTTCCTTATAACAATCATTCTAATAATCATATCATAGTCAAAGGCTGTTGAGGTGACTTTCGTGATCTTATATTGTGAAGGAAGTTCAGGATTTCATTATACATGTTAAATATGCGCCAAAAGATTTCACAAAATTTTGCTTCTATCACCAAATACTATCCATAGAGTTTAAATAATAGCCATAAACCACGATATACAAATGTCTTTGAATGGATCCTGTTAACCACTTAGACATTTTTAAGTTGTTTGTCTCTGTAGAACACTATGGGATGTGTTAAAACCTTCACGCACTGTGTGATGTGCAGTCAAATGAAGCTTATCTATCACCCAATCCATTGCCATATTGTTTTGTGGTGGAAATATTTAGAGAACTGTCTTTCGGGGTTTTTTGTGCTTCTACCCTGATAAGTTATTTTCTGAATTGTAATAAAGAGGGAAAGTAAATATTTTTTGACTGTTTTACAGGCCACATTTAAAGGATGGATGGACATCATGTATGCAGCTGTTGACTCAAGAAATGTAAGCCCATTTAGGCAAGAAATTGCTTGCTTTGATCAAATGAATGTGTCCATATTATTGTAAATCATCAATGGCAAACCACAGCAAAAAATGATATAACTGTACATCAATTTACAGGACACAGCTATTTTACCAAAATGAAGTACTTATATTATTTCTTTAAGAAAATTTCTACAGGGGATCCCAGTCTTTAGTTACAGAGTTGAAATTTTTTAACATGCTGAAGGTCTAATATTAACTGTAGAAAGAGAGTAACCAGAGAGTTGAAACTAGCCAGTTTTTCAAATTTTAGTTACAAGGTTTTTCTCAAGTCACTATAAATTGTTTTTAAGATTTATTTTATTTTATTTTTGTGTGCCAGTATTTTTTGCTTACTTGTATGTCTGTGCATCACATGTGTGTCTGGTGCCCATAGAGGCCAGAAGAGGGAACTAGATCCTCTGGAGTTGGAGATACAGACAGTTGTGAACCTCCTTGTGAGTGCTGGAAGCTGAGCTCTGGTCCGCTGGAAAAGCAACAAATACTCTTAATCTTAACCTTAACTGCTAAACCATCCCTCTGGCCCCTCACTGTAGTTTCTTCTTCTTTTCTTTCCTTTTTCGTTTCTTCTTTTGACTTTTCTAGTAAGCTTGGGCCCTGATGTTTGCTTAAATTTTTATGAATTGTATTTTCAAAATGAGACATTTTATTTTTGTGAACAGAAATCCTCTGGGCAATATTTTTCGTCTGCCATAAGTTTCCTCCAGCATTTGATCTTCTTGGAGAACGGAAATGACTAATAATGACAAATGGCGAGGAACACAGGAAACAAAACAAACCAAAACCTAATAGCGTCTCCTGCCGGAGGTGGAAGTGTGGGAAAGAAGGCGGAGATTTGCAAAATCGACCTTAGAAATGCAGTGGAGATTTTTGCTTCAATTTTTGTTCATTTCACACAGTTTATCAAGGAAGAAAGTGGCATTTTGGAATGGACTGGCTTCTGGTTTGCTAGAGCCCCCCGAATACTCTCTGTATTATTTCTGTTATTTCTGTATTATTTCTGATTTCTCTGCACCAGTAATTAGCTGTCTGTAGTTAAAAAAAAAAATCCCTGAGTTGTTTGTATCAGCCTCATAAAACCACACATCAGAGCCAGAGAGCGCTAAACAGCCTGCAATGCCTCAGGGATCCCAACAACGAGTGTTTTCTGAATCATGTTAGTAAGGTTTTGCTTGTCACCTAGGACCTAGGATACCAAGGTCACCCTCACATTATCTCCCTTCGTTTTACACTGTAGCCTCATGTTTTGGCACTAACTGCGCTATTGAAGCAGAGAGGCTCAACATATGCAATACAGAATGGTTATGAACTCTGACCAGCTGTTTCTGCAGGGCCTCTCTCTACCTCTTTGATTAGCTCATCCAGAGCTATTTCTACCTTAGCAACAGCCTACATGGCACACTACTTACTGTGCGTCTCTGTTAGTAACCCAGCAGAAACTGCCTGCTGCTGAAGCTCTCACACTTACGCATATGGCGAAATACAAAAGCCAACTGGCGGCTGAGACAACAAGAAAGACTTCCTGGCTTTCACTCTTACTTTCATTTTTTATTTAATGTATTTATTCGAGACAGGCTCTCACTGTGTAACCCTGGCTGACCTGGAAATCTCTATGCAGACCAGGAACTAGCCAGGAACTCTTAGAGATTCACCTGCCTCTTCCTCCTGAGTAAAGGCATTAAGGGCTGTGCCACCATGCCAGGCTCTGGCTTTTACTTTCATTAGTCATCCATGCACAAGTGCACGCACACACTCATGTGCACACATGCATACACACACACACACACACACACACACCACTAGATATATAAAATAAAGTAGTTGGGTATTAAGATATTATTTGTCAGCCAGGCGGTGGTGACTCACACCTTTAATCCCAACACTCAGGAGGCAGAGGCAGGTGGATCTCTGTGAGTTCGAGGTCAGCCTGGTCTACAAGTGCTAGTTCCAAGATAGGCTCCAAAGCTACATAGAGAAACCCTGTGTCAAAAATCTAAATATAAACATGTATACATACATGTATATGTATTCGGGTTTTTGCAGCATATTCTTAAGCTATTTTTACTCCTGTACATGTGTATAGGATAGTGAATCTATGTACAGAAGTAAGAAGATTTTGAAGTGACAGAACTAGAATTAATTGAAATATAATAACAATGAGTAAATGTTATATAATGATAGAAATAAATGTGGATGCATTAAGACAAAGAAACTGTACATACACCACAATTTTGTTTATTGGTTCAAGATTGGTACAAATTCAACCTACTGTTCAAAAATATCAAGGTATCAACTCTCAAAAGTGGAGGCTAATGTTGCTAGTAGTGATGGTAGTGGCTATGTTGCAGAAGAATAAACACATCAGGATTTGTGAAGTACCCTAACTGTGTTTTCTTACAAAAATGTATATCACTTAAGTTTATATGTTAGACACTTTAATATATTGCATTTAATTTATAAAACTTGAAAATATATTACTGTTTTAGGCATACAGATACATAGGTAAGTCAAATGATCAGCAATAATACCTAGTTTTGCAATCATTTTACATTTTACTTTATCATATTTCATTTAAAAATATGTTAGTTACACCCTCAGAATGGATGCCATGACACAGTAATCTGCAGTTTGCACTCTTTCTCAGCTATGATTGGTTAACTGAGTTATTAGAAGTGTCCTGGGAGACTTGAGCTTTTGATATCAGAAGCTTTTATTATCACTCATTTTCCTCCAAGGTCTGGACAACACCGAGGATCTTTGTAATGCAAACTGCCTATTGGAGAGAGTGGGTCACTATACGCACTATCAGGAAGGACAAACCCTACCAACCTACTCATGAGTACACGTACAACGTGGTTTCTAGCCGGCCTGGGAAGTGTGTACTGTTAAACATTCCACACCTATCCATCACTACCGGCTGATCTTGGCCTTAAGCACTTTTCTATTTACTAGCATATTTAACATGCACAAGTTACTCTAAAAGGTATAGGGTCTAGTGTTTCCATTTCACAGGTGAGAGGACTAGGCAGAGAAAGTAAATATCAGCTGTTCTAAAACAGAGTAATGAGACTCTGACTTTGCTATGGGATGAGGTGCCTCTATCCACATTCCGCTTTGTGATCTTTGCTTATTGAGGAAAAGAATGTTCTCGGTCATTTAAGGATTTATTTGGTGAGATTACTATAATTATTTAAGCTTTTGCATGAATGTTTTCATTTTCTCAAGTCATTGAATTAGTCTTGCAGGATTTAACAGGCATGTTAGACTTGGTGGTTCCTGAAATCTGGCCAGTATTTGTCTGTTTCATGTTTAGGGCTTTGAAAACTCAATGATGTACTTTTTATGAAACTTTGCAATCTAATGGTTACCATTCTCCGTATTTTAGGTAGAGTTGCAACCCAAATACGAAGACAATCTGTACATGTACCTTTATTTTGTCATCTTCATTATCTTCGGTTCGTTCTTCACACTGAATCTGTTCATTGGTGTCATCATAGATAACTTCAACCAACAGAAGAAGAAGATAAGTATTATCTAGACTCCCTCTGTGCTGTGAAGCGCGAGCTGGGTCCAGTGTGCTGCAGAATGGCTTTGCCAAGGGAAACGACACAACGTTCAGAAGTTCTTTTGAGATTTCATGAGTTTTAAGAGATTAGGTCAGCCAGATGTGGTGGTGCATATGCCTTTAATTCCAGCACTTGGGAGGCAGAGGCAGTCAGATCTCTGTGAGTTCTAGGCCAGCCTGTTTGACAGTGAGTTCCAGGACAGCAAGTGCTATGCTGAGAATCCCTGCCTTGGAAATATAAAATTTAAAAGGGAAAGAGTTAAGGTCACTTGTAATTCAGATACAAGGCTTTGAAGGCTCCAGTGTGTGGATGTGCCTGCTGTGACCTAACGAACGTGTTGACTGAGCGCATCATTAGCAGTGCTATGACGTAACGAACGTGTTGACTGGGAGGATCATTAGCAGCATAAGGGTGCCGGCTTTCACACAAGCAGGCAGACAGATTTCCCAGCTGGTAAAGAGCATGGTTTTAACAGTGCTTTGCTTTTCTCTCTTTACTTTGGAGGTCAGGACATCTTTATGACAGAAGAACAGAAGAAGTATTACAATGCGATGAAGAAGCTGGGATCCAAGAAACCGCAGAAGCCTATCCCTCGACCTGCTGTAAGAACAGAGTTCTTACTTATTAGTGAGACAGTGAGCATGACGGTGTCTGCCATTTTCACAGTCAAAGTGCCAAGAGGAGTATTTCTCTGAATTTGCAACCCCTTATTTATAGTCTTACTTGATAGTCTAAATATATGCCATGTATGTGCATATGTCAAAATTATTTAATATGTAATATGTTAGATACAATCATATAAAGCACATGTGAATGATTTCTTTAATCTCAAATGGTGGTAGACCCCGGAGAATTAGTGACATTGAGAGTACTCTTAAAATGTAGGAAAGCTATTACAATGTTTACATATGTCATGTGCACACAATGGACAGCCTCTGACCGTCTTTTCTCTTGATTGGCACAGCTTAGGTAGTCTCCCTGCCTGCTCAGCTTCGGAGGGTGAATGGGATCACGAATCAATCACAGTCTCAGGCTTTTTTCTTCTGGTTTTAAGTAAACCAATATTTCTATTTTTCCCAAACCCTCTGCCCTGAAGTGGGGCCATGCCATACCTTTTACGGCTTTCATAGCTCTTCCAGTTGCTCATTGGTTTGTCTTTCTTTTTTTCCTCTTTTTCTTTTCCTTTCTTTCTTTCCTTTCTTTTTCTTTTTCTTTTTCTTTTTTCTTGTAGAAGAGTTTATGTAGGGCTTTAACATTTCAGAGAGCTAGATTCATGACCATCATGGCAGAGAACATGTCAGCAGACAAGCAGACAGACATGGTGCTGAAAGCCCACCCCTAGTGACACACCTCTTCCAACAAAGCCACACTTTTTACAAATAGTTCCACCAGCTGGGGACCAAATATTCAAATACAAGAGGCTATGAAGGCCATTCTCATTCAAACCACCGCAAGACTGAAAATTATTTTGGCTTATTTCTACATCTTGACGCCCTTCCCAACCTTTTTTCTTTCCTTTACCTTCTACATGGGAAGATTATTTCTGTTAAAAGATTATGGAAGCATCATGGCATGTCTAGCGAAGGATGTAAAATGAAGCATTTTCTATACAGCGAAGTTACATTCTACAACAACCAATTACAACTGTAGTTTTTATGGATGCCTAAAGTGCTATTGTCCATTTTAAGTTACTGTTAGCTCTTTTTGGAGACTGTTAAGGGAGTCCCTCAGTTCTTCCATCATTTCTGAAGGAACACATCAGCTATTAATTCTTGGTGCTCTTCCAACTCAGTTCCAACCGTTTAAGAACAATTTGTATTCTCCAAGAGCCTTGATTTTATGAATCCATTGGCAGCAATAAATAACTAGGTTCAAGAAAGTGTTCAGTATGGCAACCTGCCAATAACTCAGAGACAGTGAGTTGTCACATCAGACAAAAGATAAGAAAAGTAAAACTTGAGCCCCTTCTTCAAGAAATAATACAGTTTGAATAGTTGGAAGCTGGCAGAAGATAGTCCCTATATGATGAAATATATACTCTAAAGCCTTAGGAATGAGTATTTTAAGAATAAGAGGGGTACATTTGAATTACTAAGTGGTAGACTCAAGGTTCAAAACCTAATTTCCTTAGTTAACAATATAACTAGAATCTTCTTATGAGAACAGCGGAACTGCATGAAGGAATTGAGGGTCAGAGCAGAGCACTGGACCTGGGAGGAAGTGCTAAAGCAAAGATAACACAGGGCTAGTCAAAATACTGCCCACGTAATGCATCGACAAAATGAACACGCCAGAGAAGGAGTAGAAGCGTTCAGCTGTGAATACCGCTAAGGAAAAGAGAGCTGACTAACCAGGGGAAGCTTTTCTTGAAGTGATTCATTACTAAGGAGCCAAGAAGAATGAAGAAGTATCAATTAGCTGCATGGTTGAGATGGAGCCTTGTCTAGGTGAAAGCCCTGACAGGAAAGCCTCATGGAGTGCCGAGAGAGGGAGTCCATCTGGGTCCTGTTGATTAAAAGGGGATTAAATGGGTCAGCATCTATACGAGTTATCTCCATCCTAAGACCTCTAGGAAACCATTAAAGCGATCAAGTCATTTGGGTTTTACAAGTTGGAGAAAGATGGTGGTGTGTGCATTGCAGACAAAGTTTGGAACTACTTTGGAGACCATAGATAGCTAACACCAGAGGGAAAGCGGATGGGTTTGAGGACTGTTACTGAAGTGGAATGAAAAGGGGTCCACTCCTCTAATATGGAAACTGTAAGTTAAGAACAGGAGTGATGAACTGTCGCTGTACCCATGGGAGGCTCAGAGATGCCGTGTAGGATGCGTGAGGTGAAGTTCAGGGGCATCAGTTTGTAGGATTCGGCAGCCAAAAATGAATAGAGAAGGGAAAGATTCAGAAGTAGAGCAAGGGGGTTTCCTAGAATTAAAATATTAAGTCTGAAGTGTAGTGAAAACCGTTCTGGAAAGGAGAGAGTGGCTGAGCGCAGAAGAAATTGCACAGGATGTGAGCCAAGAATGAAGAGTTCAGGTTAGACAAGAAAAGGAACTGAGTTTATCAGATGATGAGTGACACCAGGAAGGAACCTGGGAACCCAGCAAGTATGAAATGAATAAAGCTGATGAAGAATATATTTACACTAATTGACTTTGCTATTCCCCCAACAGCGAAAAAAAAAAGAGTATTAGGAAAAAGAATGGTAAAGAGGGACTGAGGGTTAGTAATTAGGGTTTAAGACCCAGGTTAATTTAAAAAACATGTGCTTCGGTTGGCCAAGTGATGTGGGATTTCCCTCTGAATGCTTGTGAATATCATTGGTTAATAAAGAAACTTCTGTGGGCCTATAGCAGAGCTATAGGGGAACAGAGCTAGGTGGGAGAAAACTGGGAGAAAGGAGGTGGAGACAAAAGAAGCCATGGAGCCACTGCTGGAGACAGATGAGCTAAAACTTTGCTAGCAGGCCATGACCTCATGGTGATGCACAGATTAAAGGGAGATGGGTTAAATTAATATGCAAGAGCTAGCCAAATAAGGCACTAGAGCTAATAGTCCAAGCAGTGATTTAATTAATACCGTTTCTGTGTAATTATTTTGGAGCTAAGCAACCGGGAACTAACTAGCGGCCTCCTCCAACAGCCAAGCCTCCAGGGCTATGCAGTTTCTTTTAATATACCCAGTGCCCTAAGATTCATATTGGTAGGGACTCAGACTTGATATTGGACATTGAAGCAATCCCATTAAAATGATATATTGGCAAGAAATCTGAAAGAGCTTTGTGTAGTCATGTTGACAAAATGAAGACCAATTGTTGCTTCTAAGAGAATCTGGATTAACTGATTACATCAGTTTTCTCACAAATATTCTTTTTCTTAAACTATAATTTAAAGCCAGGTGTGGTGTGTACACCTTTAATCACAGAACTTGGGAGGCAGAGACAGGAGGATCTCTGTGAGTTTGAGGCCAACCTGGTCTACAGAGTGAGTTCCAGGACAGCAAAAGATACACAGAGAAACCCTGTCTCAGAAAAACAAAACAGAAAAACAAAACAAAAACAAAAACAAAAAACACTTATTTATAATTTAAAGTCTAACTGTTATAAAGTTGACAATGGAAGATAATAAAGCTTTGAGTCTAGAGCATAGTTGAAGGAGGCTGGGGAGAAAGCAAGAGGAAATCTAAGACAAGTATCTATTCACTCTTTAAAAGTAGTATTCATATCCACATCCCAGCACATGGAGTAAAAATGTTTACTATAACTGCAAATACTGACTGTCCATCCAAATCACATACTGATGCTTGGGATACTGAGACTATCAGCTATTCTTAATACTCTTCTTTATAAAGTTCATAGTATGACTAATATTCATGAAGCAATTCACTTTGGGGAAAGTTGGCTATCCCAATACATAAAACTGTTGACAACAACAACTGTCAGTTGTATGACACAAGAATGGTATGCTTTCACAGACGATAAGTTTTCATATTACTGAGTCAGAACCAGGTAAGTGGGTAAGATCTTCTTAACACACGTGTGAGTGTGCTTCTCTGTGCTGTGCGTTTCAGAACAAATTTCAAGGGATGGTCTTTGACTTTGTAACCAAACAAGTCTTTGACATCAGCATCATGATCCTCATCTGCCTCAACATGGTCACCATGATGGTGGAGACGGACGACCAGAGTCAGGAGATGACCAACATCCTCTACTGGATCAACCTGGTGTTCATCGTGTTGTTCACGGGCGAGTGCGTGCTGAAGCTCATCTCCCTCCGCTATTACTACTTCACCATTGGGTGGAATATTTTTGATTTTGTGGTGGTCATTCTCTCCATCGTAGGTAAGAAGGGGAGCATTTACCCCTTTACCTAATAAGTCCAGGTGTGGGGGAAATGCCAGGAACCCCCATATTTGGGAGGTTCAGACAGATATCAAATTGCAGGATAACATGGGCTGCATAGTGAGACCCTGTCTCAAAAAAAAAACAAAAAACAAAAAGCAAAAACAAGAAAAAAGAGGGAAAGAGTATTTAATAGTTATACTCCATGATTAAAAGTGGTAAAGATATTTCTTAAGATTTCAAAATTTTAGATAAAGCCTAATAGTCCATTTCCTCTTAGTCTTTCATATTTGCTATTTCATCTGTTCATGAAATTACGTACTTTTTTCTTCTTATTATCTTGCCTCAATTTCAAATCCAATAACTACAATTTAGGTTGTCTCCTGCACTCATCATGTTCTTATAAGATAAACAGCTACTGCTTCAAATAAACAAGCAACACTCACTTATGCATAAATCCTTAAAAGCAGTCCGATAATACATAGATATGATCTCTTTGATAACTGGAATATTATAGGCGTGCATTTATATACATGTGACACACAGACTTCACGGTTTCCTGAAGTTCAGATAACTCTCTATAGCTTAGAGTTTTTCTTCTTACAAGCGGAGAGTGTATTCAGGATTCATTTTCCTCATAACATATTAAGTGTTCATGTAGAAGATGTCAAATAAGAAGCTAAAAGCAAATATAACAGGATTTATGGAAAGTCTTGCCTCTTGTTTTATTAATAATTACTAATTACTGATGCTGAGAGGAACCATCAGGACCCTATCGTGTGAGGAAAATGATCTACCCCTGAATGAGGTCCCGGTTACCAGGTTAGGCCTATATGAGGAATAGGAATATAGATACTGAGAGGGAAAAAGTGTGTCCAAGTGTACCTCGTGTTTTTACACTTTTGATATAATGTGCTCTGTCCACACTGCAGGCTATGTCAGCCCCACACTTGGCAAGTCAGTTTGCAGCGTTTTTCAACAGCTTAGATGATGATTGCATTTTTAGCAAAAGCTATTTTTAATAAAGATCTACAGTTTTCTTGGACATAATGTCATTTATATTTAAACTGAAGTATATTGTAATTATTAACGTTTATATGCATCAATAAAACAGTCCAAAGATTCATGTAATTTTTTTCTTTTAAAAAATATGTGTGTGAATATTTTTGCCTACCTATATGCCTGTGTGCCAGACGCATGCAGGGCTCACTGAGGCCAGAAGAGGGCACCAGATCCCCTGGAACTGGAGTTAGAGACAGTTGTGAGCTGCCCTGTGGGTATTGGGAGTGGACCCTCGGTCCTCTGAAGGAGGACTCTTCACCACTGAGCATCTTAGCTCTTTCGGTCCTGTAATTGGTTTCCTTGGGTATGGTTTTATTCTGATTATCGGAAACAGGAGCACAAAGACAGGGAGGAGCGTGCGTATCCAGGTTTTTAACCTCTCACCAACATTGCCCCGCTGTGACAGAGTTCTGTGGGGCAGACAGAAGGGGAATACAAAACACCCTGACCTCATAGGAGGTGAGTATGGATGGTGAGCCAAGGCTGCAGAGTATAAGAAGGGAGAGATGTAAAGAAGCTGACCAAGGGAAGCCGAGCTGCAGTTCATAGAAGCAAAATGTCCTGAAGCCCATTACCCGTAGGACACTACAGATAACTGTAATACATTTCACGCTTTAAAGAGGCAAGAAAGGATTCTGAATCTGTTTACTATCAAGATAACATTTTCAAGATAAAGATGTTAAAACGTTAGACAACATATACTTGTATAGAATATATGACCTGCTACCCCACATATATGCACGGGTTGTATGTTTTATGTATTAATTGAAACATTTTTAAAATTTTTAAAGAAAGAATTGGGGGTAAAGAAGCCATGCCACGAGGCTCCCTACCTGGACCACTTATCAGCTCTCTTACCTAGGGCAAGTTCAATCACTACTCCAATTACTGGCTCTCCGTTGAATACAGTACTGTTGCCGTGTCAAAACGTGCAGACTAGTTCACGTGGCTCTCTGTTCATTATGAAGGAAAGACTCTGAAAATGTTGTTTAACAAAAACAAAAGTTGACATTTTGGTCATCTAGGCCAGATTTCGAGTTCTACTGCGAGTGAATCTGCCTCCCCAGCGTATGTTCTATGGTCCATGTGTTCAGCTACCTGAGAAGGAAATACTTCTCATCATGAGTTCTCGTGTAGAACATAGGGCTGAAAACTACATGCTTCACCCTGTAGCCCTTACACAAACAAGAGTTCTCGTGTTTTAAAAGTATAAATCCATTTCTGTGCTCAGCCACTTTAAACTTTGTTACATCTTTAGACCTCTAAGAGTTTGGTTTTTCTCTGATAGAAGATATGTTAATGAAGAAAAATGGTCATCAATATCTTCATTTAGAATAAAGACCTCAATGGTACAACACCAAATATTTTCATTATTTTAGTGAATAAATATTGTAGTTTACTTGCATACGTGATGCTTATATTTTTATATATGCATAAATATATATACATTTCTATGAACTGTAACTCAGTTCTCATTGGTTAGAGTAGGCATACACACATATTCATATTATGACCATGTTAAAACTATTAATAGATATGTATTTGTTGGTATTTAATTCTTTTTTTTACTATTTATTTATTTATTTATTTATTTATTTATTTATTAAAGATTTCTGTCTCTTCCCCACCGCCGCCTCCCCTTTCCCTCCAGTTTGTAAACTAGATAGTTCTTGTCTTAATCGTATAAAACTATTTTTTTCTGCTGCCCTTAACACTATTGTCTATCATTTTTTCCCAGGAATGTTTCTGGCAGAGCTGATAGAGAAGTACTTTGTGTCCCCTACCCTGTTCCGAGTCATCCGCTTGGCCAGGATCGGCCGAATCCTACGCCTGATCAAAGGCGCCAAGGGCATCCGCACGCTGCTCTTCGCTCTGATGATGTCCCTTCCTGCGCTGTTCAACATCGGCCTCCTGCTTTTCCTGGTCATGTTCATCTACGCCATCTTTGGGATGTCCAACTTTGCCTACGTTAAGAGGGAAGTTGGGATTGACGACATGTTCAACTTTGAGACTTTCGGCAACAGCATGATCTGCTTGTTTCAAATCACCACGTCGGCAGGCTGGGATGGGCTGCTGGCACCTATATTAAATAGCGGACCTCCCGACTGTGACCCTGAAAAAGATCACCCTGGAAGCTCGGTGAAGGGGGATTGTGGGAACCCATCTGTGGGGATCTTCTTTTTTGTCAGCTACATCATCATATCCTTCCTGGTGGTGGTGAACATGTACATCGCTGTCATCCTGGAGAACTTCAGCGTCGCCACAGAAGAAAGCGCAGAGCCCCTGAGTGAGGACGACTTTGAGATGTTCTATGAGGTCTGGGAGAAGTTCGACCCCGACGCCACTCAGTTCATAGAGTTCTGCAAGCTCTCCGACTTTGCGGCTGCCCTGGATCCTCCCCTTCTCATCGCAAAGCCAAACAAAGTCCAGCTCATCGCCATGGACCTGCCTATGGTGAGCGGAGACCGCATCCACTGCCTGGACATCCTATTTGCTTTTACAAAGCGTGTTTTGGGAGAGAGTGGAGAGATGGATGCCCTTCGAGTCCAGATGGAAGAGCGGTTCATGGCTTCCAACCCCTCCAAGGTCTCCTATGAACCGATCACCACCACTCTGAAACGCAAACAAGAGGAGGTCTCTGCTTTCGTCATCCAGAGAGCGTACAGGCGGTACCTCCTGAAACAGAAAGTTAAGAAAGTGTCATCTATATATAAAAAAGACAAGGGCAAAGAAGGTGAAGGAACGCCGATCAAAGAAGACATCGTCATTGATAAACTAAATGAGAATTCGACTCCAGAGAAAACTGATGTGACGCCTTCTACCACTTCTCCGCCTTCCTATGACAGCGTGACCAAACCCGAGAAGGAGAAATTTGAAAAGGACAAATCGGAAAAGGAGGACAAAGGGAAAGATATCAGGGAAAGTAAGAAGTAAAATAGATAAGTAAATAACAAAATTAAAATTGTAAAAAATAGAAAACACAAGAAAATTCCATTTTGTGACCAACTGTTTACAGCCTGCATTGGTGATGTATCCGTGACTCCCTTAGGAGGTCTATGCCAAACTGACTGTCTTTACAAGTGTACACTTAAGGTCAGTGCCTATAACAAGACAGGACCTGGGGTCAGCAAGCCGGGACTCACTACTACACCAGACAAACAGCACCGACAGGAGGCCTCTGTTCTCACAACCAACTGTCACAGCAGAGCGGAGAGCAATGGCTACTCAGACAAGAGAAACAACGGAAATGGGGAGGGAAGTGAAATTTTTATGTAAATTTAACACGTGACACTTGATAGCAGTAACTGTCACCACTGTTTGTGTTTTAACTGCCACACCTGCCATATTTCTACAAAATGTGTGCTGTGAATTGATCACCTTCTTTTTTTTTTTTTAAATTCACGGGTTGTTTACTCTTATATGTGACTATTTTTGTAAAGGGGTTTATGTTTGGGGAGAGGGATTAAGGCGGGGAGTCTACATTTCTCTATGTATAACGAGATCTATTTTCAATGACGGCATGCTGCAGTGCTCATTCACACGTGAACATACCCCATCACGCACGGAAAGAGTTGACTTCTTAGTTCAGGATGTTTTTAGATTTTTGAGGTGCTTCAATAGCTATCCATATTTTTAAGGTGTTTCATCCAGGAGAATTTTAACGTGCCTGTAAATGTTCCATAGAGTCACAACCATCAAAGAGTTGTTTTATTTTTACATAACTCATTATATGTACATGTATATATGTATATATGTATATGGCCGTGTATATACATATACATGTATACACACATGCATACACATGCACACAGAGACCATCACATGCTCAGAGTCCTGGCAGCATGACTGTAACATTTTTTGATAAGTGTCCTTTGGCAAAAAAAAAAAAAAAAAAAATGTATACACACATGCATACACATGCACACAGAGACCATCACATGCTCAGAGTCCTGGCAGCATGACTGTAACATTTTTTGATAAGTGTCCTTTGGCAAAAAAAAAAAAATATCCTATCAGTCCTTTCTAAGAAACCCGAACTGACCAAAAACCATCCCCACTGCCACTTTCTGAAGTTGATTCTGCTTTTTCCTGCAGTATTGTTTAGCCATCTTCTGCTCTTGGTAAGGTTGACATAGTGTATGTCACTTTAAAAACAAAAACAAGTCTGCTTTGTAAATAGTAATTTTTGCCCCGTGGTGCATGTTTGAGCAAACGAAAATGATTTTAAGCACAGTATTTAACTGCATCAAATATGTACCACAGTTAAGTATAGTTTGCAAGCTTCCAAACAGGTGACATGGTGTCCTTGGTGCCCTTAGAATTTGAAGCTGTCTCTGCTGCATGTCTCTCTTGCTGATGCTGCTGTATCTTAACCCTTCCGCTGTCTAAAAGGGAAGCCATATGTCAGGGTGAAGCGAAGCAAATCCTTCCATCAGGAACGTATTCTTCATGACTCTGAGAATGGGTTACAGTGAACGAACCCTGTTCCTTGTCCCCCCCAACCTTAACTGTCCGCTCTGGTGAGATCGGACCATGTAGACAAGTGGCAAACTGCATAGATCTGTTGAAAGCGTATGGTTAGAATTTTTCTAAGAAAATATAAATATTGTAAAAAAAAAAGGGAGGGGGTCATTTTGCTTTATTTTTCAGCCTTTTGTACATAAAATGAAAAATTAAAAGTATCTTCAGGTTGATGTCACAGTCATAGCGTTAGTTTCTGTTCCTCACACTTCTTAATGAAGATGCTTCACAAAGTAAGGGAGAAAGACGGAGAGGCAGTGGAAGTTTCTGCTCTCGCTGTTAGTACTGTGGACTTGCACAATTCTCAAGTCGAGTCTAATATTAATTTGCTTTCAATAGTAATGCCTTATCGTTGACAAGCAGTCTCAAAGGGAGCGGATGATACTCTTGGCATTGCTTGAATGGGATGTCGTCACCTAGCACTACCCCTAGTACTCACCGTCTTTCCTAATGTTTGTTTACACAGATAGATAGATGGATAGATAGAATCTTACTGATGCACACGGCACTAGAGCTGTATCAGATACGATATAGGAGCCAAACTTCCTTCCTTTCTTCCTCTTTCCTTCCTTCCTTCTTCCCTCCCTCCCACTTTCTCTGTATTCCTTTCTTTCTTTTCTCTTTCTTTCTTTCTTTCTTTCTTTCTTTCTTTCTTCCTTTCTTTCTTTCTTTACCTTCCTTTCCTTCTTTCTTTCTTTTCCACAAAACCAGGTAGCGAAATGATATTACCAATTGCAACAGAACACTTTGTTTCACAAACAACACTCAGTGTAGATTCTTTATACTAAAGCTATTGACTTGTAGTGTGTTGGTGAATGCATGCAGGACAATGCTATTACCGTGAAGAGCAGTAAGCCACATAACAATCGAGCCAAAAGAATAAAGATTTTGCTTTTGTTTCTGTATTTATTGTTTTGTCTGTGTTTCTATCTTCAAGATGCCATTGAGAGGTAAATTTCTATCCTGTAAAAATGATCTATCTGAAAATTTAAATGTAAAAAGTACACATTAAGTATAATAATTCATCTTTAAATTTTTCATGGGATGGAAACTGAGAAGAGTGTATTGGATATCTAGTTTTAATATTGGCCAAAAAATAAAAAACAGCTATGGCACCAGGTAGAGTAGTGGGAAGTTAAAAAATTAATAAAAAAAAAAAACATTGACTAACATTTAAGTCGTGCATCTTTTCTCCTCCCTGGCTGCGGATTCTCTGATCTTCTCTTCCCCTTTCTTCTTTTTGCGTCCTTCCTTACATAGTACCAACCAACCGTCCTAGGTCCTTTTTCATCCCTCTCTCTGACACTGGCAGTTTTCCTGGAGACTCTTTTCCTTGGTTCTTTGCTGTTCACCAAAATTTTGTTTAGCCCTGTCCCCAGGACCCTTCCTTACCTTAATAATTTTTTTTGCCACTTTGAAGATGACACACACTATCTGTATATCCATTTTGTTAATAATTTTCTCAGCCAAACATCTAAGAAAGCTTAGATATCTGCTTTTCATACTATAAAACAGATCATCAAAATTCACAGGTTTGCCTTTCCCCTTTCGTTATGAACAGTTCGAGAAGTGCCTCTCAACTTTGATTGCATCTTCAAATTGCTTGCGAAGTTTCTAATAAAAATGTCAGCGCTGGATGAGCAGGCCAATTGAGTTCCTATCTCCGGAGGTGTAACTTACTCCTCTAGCATCTTTAAGACTCTCCACTGCTGATGAGTCATAGCAAGATTGGGAATTGATGTCCAACAGGAAATATTCTAGACAAAAAGCATCTGTCATTTCCAGACCTATTATTTAACTCAGTATGTAGAGAGGGTGTTAGTATGCACCTCAAGTAATTTATCTTCCAGTGTGAGGAGTAGGAGAGGTTGATCCTGATCCGCTTATACTCCTGCAGTATTCTGTTTGGTGGAAAGAATTAGAATATCGATATGATCCAGAGAACATCATCACATCACACATATGTGCCCAACATGACACCCAGCCCCCCACACTGTATACTGTGGGTAATTTGAATCGGAGAGTAGTTGAAGCAGTATTAGGAATTAATAAAAAAAAATCCCTAGGCAACTCTAACATGCCTGTTGCAGGAGAACCAGTAATCAGGGTTAATGGACGTCCACAATGATTAGACAAGTTGTCATTCAAAGCTAGACAGCGGAGGCTGGGGAGATGGCTCAGAAGTTACTGTCACTTGCTGCTTCTCCAGAGGGCAGGCGTTGGGTCTCAGGACCTACATGGTGGCTCATGCTGGTCTGCATCAGGAATCCAACATCTTCTTTTGAACTCGGCCAGAAGAGACCACACGTGCCGACACGCAGGTAGACAAGATATTCATATGCATTTCTTAAAAGACTAGATTGGAATGACTCCAAAACTCAACTACACTATTCTTGAAGCTGCTCATCTAATCAATTGTTTTCCTACGCTCTGTGGTGTAAGGGCCGATTTATAGATAGCAGAGAAGACAACAGGAAGTGGAGGAAGAAATACAAGAGGCTGCTTCCTAAATGATTTTGCGGAAATGTCTGCTGTAGGCCCCAGTCGCAGTGCTGGGGAAAGGGCAAAGCAAAGAGGAATAAGGAAAAGAAATCTTTCCTGGTTGCCTATCTTTGGGATCTGTAAAGTAAAAACATGTTTCTCCTATCACGTTCTGATAAAAACTATCTGTGTAAAATGTGAAGAGGACACACTGTGACAAAGACCCCATGGACCCACAAATAGTGGTTTTGTTTTTTTGTTTGTTTGGGTTTTTTTTCTGTTGTTGTGCGCTTTTTTTTTAATCCTGTTCATACACACCCAATAAAAGCCAATGCATCTAAGCTTCATAATCAAAGCTGAAAGACGCAGACAAGCCTGTGCCACCAGACTCTGACAATGTGGTTCTTAGTAGCAGGCCCAGCACTGGGAAGAAAAACAGAAACAAAAACGGATTTTTTTTTTTTAAATTAGCTGTCTGAGGAAGAGCTTCAGTTAGAGGCAAAGGCCCTGGGAAGTCATGTGAGAGTCTGTTGAGAACGCATTGCTCAGCAGACTGTGCCTGTACCATCAGAGAACACTGTGCTGCTTTATTGCTGCAGGGTCTCGGCTGGTGTTTTCCAGGCAGCTCACTTTCCCGCTGAAGTATTTCACTGTCTATCTGTGTACCAATTTTGTTTTTACAAATATTCCTCTTTCATGTTTTCACTCATTTGCTGTTTCTGTATATAAAATGAAAATCCCAAGGCTCTCGCCTCATTAGCATGAAACCATCTCATGCGAGTCCGCGCAACCCACGTATCATGTTCACGTATTAGAATGAGACTGTCTCACGTGAGTCCATTCACCACTCAGTGGGAATACAATCGTTTCTCTCCTTCCTTAAGTGATTTTTCCTGTGCCCAGTTTAGGTCTTACATCAAGATGCTTGATCCATTTGAAGTTGATTTCTGTATGCAGAGAGAGGTAAGATCTGCTTTCACGCATACATTCTTTATTAAAACCAAACAAGCAAATTAGTTAATTGTTTGCTTGTTTGTTAAAACAATCTCACCTGTAGCCCAGGCTGGGCTGGATCTCTTGGTCCTTCTGTTCTAACCTCTCAAGTGCTGTGGTTACAGGAATGAGACACCATACCCTGCCCCTTTTATCTTAAAGATTTCTGTATACACAGCATTAGAATAGTATATATTTTTTAAAGACTCAAACTACATTTTAAAAAATATTTGATCACCGGGCGATCCTCCTCCTCCTCCTCCTCCTTCGAGATAAAGCTTCTCATCAGCTTGGCATCAATGGGGCTAGACTACCTAGACAGGGAGCCACAGGAATCCCCTTGTCTCTGTCCCCAGTGCTGATGTTACAAGCAGTTTCCAGCTACTTGGCTTCTTTACAAGGATGCTGAGCTTTATTTGCTGTGGGACAATGGTCTTGTACCCTGTAAAGGTTTGTCTCTTGTAACGGTTTAATAAAATACTGTTTGGCCAGTAGTAGCCAGGCAGGAAGAATAGGAGGAGCAACCAGAACAAGAGAATTCTGGGAAGAGGAAAGGCTCAATCTGAAGTCGTCCCCCAGATACAGAGGAAGCAAGGTGAAAATGCCTCACTGACAAAAGGTACCAAGCCACACACACGGCTAACACAAACAGAATGATGGGCTAATGTAAGGTATAAGAGTTAGTAAAGCCTGAGCTAACGAACCAACCGGTTTATAATTAATGTAGATCTCTGTGTGTTTCTTTGGGACTGAACGGCTGTGGGACTGGGCAGGACAGAAACTACTGCCAACATTTATTCTTGCATGGCACAAGCTTTACCAACTGATCTGTCTCTCTGGCCACCCCCCCCCCCGTGTCTTTTTTTTTTTTT